TTCTCGAGTGCAGAGATCTTTTGCATGGCTTCCTCACTGGCCAGCGTTGTCTTTGGGGGAGGCTCATCTTGAGACAAGTTTGGTAAAGAAACATGCCTGCTTGGGGGCTTCTCAAAGCAAGGAAGGTTATCCTCATGGGGAGACTTGGACCTGACCTCTGCCCTGCAAGGAAAACATAAAGGTGGCCATCACAGGACTGCTAAGGAGACATGAGTAGACACCCACACAAGTCAGCATCTCCAGCTACAGGTCAGCACTGTCCCACTCCTTTTCTGTCTGCAGTGGTGCTGATCCACCACTGTCAATAAGCACCACAGGAGCCCAGAAAAGCTCCTGATGGCCTGTGTTTTGCTTCAGCTTCAACTAAGAAAAGTCTCATCTTCTAAATGCTAATCTAATCATAACCAACAGATAAAACCAGAAACATGAGCCCTTCTCTAGGGTCCTGGCTTCTGCCTTCTAGTGCCAACATTCCCCATATTTGACAGAACACATCAAACAAGAAATATGGGGACAATATAAGCTAACCACATGCCAGAAACTGAAAGGAAGAGGAAATCATTAATGTCATTTCTCCCTTACACCCACGCTATGAAGTCTCAAAAGTCTCAACATTGAAAACACTGCTGCCTGGGCTCTGATCTGCCAGTCACTGGGAACACTACAAAACCAGAATTCTTCATGAGCACAGGAAGCAAGCATGATTCCTGGTATGAAGATCACTACTTCAAAGTAGTCTGGACTACACAGTAAGTTAAAAAGTTGACCTGTGCTATTCAAAAGAGCAGAAACAGCTACACTGTGCCCAGCTGAAGGACTGTGCTTTCCAGTTTCTCTAGCAATTTGCAGAACATGTGGCTGGCTGACTGGGCTAATAACACTGCAGGCAAACTTAGTCAACAGCATCTGAGGGCAGTGAAGTCTCAGCCGCCTTCTGCGCTGAGACCAGTGCAGTGCACAGTGGTTTAGTAAGAGCAAGTGATGTGGCAGCAGACACCGCAGACCTTAGCAAGGTTGGCTCCATGACTTGGGCTGGGTGTCAGCTCCAGTCCAGGAGCTATGTTTAGACTGAAAATAAACTAGTTGGCAAGAAAAGTGGGCTGCCACACTATTCAAACCACTTTCCTCACAGCTTCTGTCACACGCAATCAGATTTTCCTTTATCAGTTTTTTTTTAAAGATTTTATTTATTATGTATACAACATTCTGCCTTCCATGTATATCTGCACACCAGAAGAGGGCACCAGATCTCATAACAGATGGTTGTGAGCCACCATGTGGTTGCTGGGAATTGAACTCAGGACCTCTGGAAGAACAGTCAGTGCTCTTAACCTCTGAGCCATCTCTCCAGCCCCCTTTTTCAGTTTTTGAGAAAGGGTCACACTCACTGCACAGCTATGGCTGATGTAAAACTCTCTAGACTGCCCAACTTTCAAGGGTACTCCAACCTCTGCCCCTAAGTCCTGGGATTACATGCCAGTGCCACCATGCTTATTTTAAATAATCAAATGTTACCAATCACTGGTATTAATCAAGCCCTTTTGCAACACTTAATTTAAGTTTTGCTTAGTTTGAGAATGATTTTTTTTTTTTTTTTTGAGACAGGGTTTCTCTGTGGCTTTTGGAGGCTGTCCTGGAACTAGCTCTTGGAGACCAGGCTGGACTCAAACTCACAGAGATCCGCCTGCCTCTGCTTCCCGAGTGTTGGGATTAAAGGTGTGCACCACCAACGCCCGGCAATTAGCTTTTGGCATTGGGAACTGAATCTGGATGTTTCATTCAAATCTCTTTGTGAGTAAGTTAAAATGTTTGCAAGTTGCCTTTTCACCTATAAGATTTGAAACAAACAAAAAAATGTCAAGAATCAATGTCTGCTCTTCCCCAGTCCTTAGCACCCCCAGCATCATAGCAGTACCTTTATTTAACTGGAGTGTGTGTGAGTTCTGAAGCCTCAATTACAGTTTCCTTTTTTACCTTGACACTGAGAAGACCAGATGAAAATATAAACATTCACAAAAAACTTCAAAGGCTGGACATGGTGATGCATGCCTGCCAACCCAGAACTTGAGAGGATGAAGCCATAGGCCATGAGGACAAGGCTAGCCTGGCCTGCACAGAGAAATGCCATGTGAAGGCTGGATATATAATGTAGTTCAGTCAGTGGAGTAAGGCTCAGCATGCACAAAGTGCAGACTTCAAACCAGATGCTGCATAAAACTGGGTACAGCAGAATATGGCTACAATCCCAGGATTCTGGTAGTAGAAACGAGAGAGGTAGGAGCTCAAAATCAAAATCATCCATTACATAGTAATTTCAAGGACAGACTGGGCTACATGAGACCCTGTCTCAAAAAAACAAGAGGGTCTAACAGATGGTTTAGTTGACAGAAAGTGCTTGCTGCACACTGGTGAACCTAAGTTTGATCCCTAAATCCCTGTGAAGAGCTGGGTGTGGGTGTACATACTTGTATAGCTTCAGCACTGTGGAGGCAGAGAAAGGGGGCTGCCTGCAACTCACTGGCCAGCCAGCCTAGCCTAATCTGCAAGCCCAGGTCCCAGAGAGACTCTGTCTTGAACCACAAGATGAACAGTACTAGAAGAACACCTGAGGCTGACCGCTAGCCTCCACACGTTTGTATATGTGCATATATGTCCACACACATGAACAAGTACACAGCGCGCGCGCGCGCACACACACACACACACACACACACACACACACACAAAGTAAGGATTACACTTCTACATAATGACTACAGATGAATGAACATTATCATTTTCTTTTTCATTTAACTGAAATCTTAACATAAAAACAAAAATAAGTACTTAGCACAGATATTTCAAAAGCAGAAAACATTTGTGATGTTTCTTTACAATAGTTTCACCACACCACTGTGCTAGGAAGATTTCTTCCTGTTGTGCCTGCTTCATTTGGCTCCCACATACTGTAAAGCAGGAAAGTACAAGCTCCTGGGTAAAGTACCATGTGCTGACATTACCTAACTTTATTCTTGTGCTGGTGCTTTTTATGTCAACTTGATGCACTGGAGTCATCTGAGAGGAGGGAACATCAATTGAGAAAAATGCCCCAGAACAGTGGTTCTCAACCTTCCTAATGCTGAGACCCTTTAATACAGCTCCTCATGTTGTGGTGACCCCCACCATATTATTTTTGTTGCTACTTCTTAACTCATTTTGCTACTGTTATAAATGATAATGTAAATATCTGTGTTTTCCAATTATCTTAGGCGACACCTATAAAAAAGTTGTTTTACTTACAAAGAGGTCACAACCCACAGGTTGAGAACCAATGCTTCAGACAGGCTATTAAGTAGACAAACGTGGGCATTTTCTGAATTAGTGACTGATGGTGGGCCCAGCCCATTGTGGGTGGGGCCATCCCTGAGCAGGTGGTCCCAGGTTCCATAAGAAAGCAGGCTGAGCTAGTCATGAGAACAAGCCAGTGAGCAGCACCCCTCAGTGGCCTCTGCATCAGCTCCTGCCTCCAGGTTCCTGCCCTGCGTGAGCTCCTGTCCTCACTGCTTTTGATGATGAACTGTTATGTGAAACTGTGAGTGAAATAAACCCTTTCCTCCCTAAGTTACTTTTGATCATGGTGTCTCATGACAACAGTAACCTTAACTTGTACAATTATTCTTTGAGTAAAACCACTCTTGGTTTTACTTTATTTTAAGACAGTCTCAGGTGTCTCGGGCTGACCTTAAACCAGATCTCCACCCATCTGTTTATCTCCTGCTGCCTCTCAACGTTCGGCTCTGGCACCTGTTGGGAGCCATACAGCTTGGCATGAACCTTTAGGCCAAACTTGGCAAGCCACATAGTTATAGAACTGTATTTTGATTATAAATGGCTTCTAGAAGCATGAGCACCCAGAAGGAACAACATGACCCAGACGTCAATCCTTTGTTCCAACCACAAGCCCACTTACCTAAGCAAACCTCCCACATCCCACCACTTACCTAAGCAACCTCCTTCTTCCCACCACTCACCTAGGTAACTCTCCCCACCACCCATGAACTTTTCATCCTGCCAACATCCTCTTTCTATAGTTTTCTAACATCCTGCTTAAACTAACACCTGACTCTTGGCCTCTTCTCCCCCTTCCCTTTACCCCATACCACTGACTATATAAGCTAGTCTGGAAAAAATAAAATTTGCCACTTGATCAGAATCCTGTCTTATGGTCATTCTCTTGAGTCTCTTGTCCCCATTCCCCTCCCTGGACTTCTTGCTCTAGGTTGCTGTCCTGCAGGATGGGACAACTACAGGCATCCACTTCTCAAAAAGCCAAGCTAATTTCTCTCATCATGCAGGGATTTTCTCCACCTGCTTAGTAGACTTTACACTACCAGTAACCCTGACATCCTGGGATCTCCTCCAGTGCACCCCTGTGTCTACTACCTGACTGTGTCTACTCTCTGGTGCCCAGTGAGTAACTTTCTTAGACTGACTGACTAGTGTACACTCTGTAGCTTCCAAATGAATGGAAACTTCTCTAACACTCATTGTTCCCTCATGTAACCCCAACTCCTCTTGATATAATTGTTAAGAAACATTTTCCAAGTATACAAATTCTCTATGATCTGATGGATCCCTGTGCTCCAATGAAACTATTATAACTACTGTAGCTACCTTACCTAGCATTGATGGTTTCTTCTGACACCCCTTGCTAGCATGTAACCCCTCCTGAATGGCAGGGAATTCTGGTTTTTGTTCCTGAGAACTTTACAAGTACAAGACTCCGAAAAATAAACCACAAAGACCGTTCAAGAAAAAGAGAACAAGGCAAGCTATCAAATCCGGATCTTAACGTGTTCCCGTATGTCCTTGGAAACAGCAGACAGTCCCAGCAGCCATCCACACTAACCTGAGCTTTGTGGAGCACTCTCCTTCTTCGGCAGCTACCCATCCAACATCAGCAAAAGATGCCACCACGTCGTCCCCTGGTGGGGTGGGACTCCATTCTGTTGCATGGCTGGTAAGCTGGAAGTCACAAAGAGAGAAGTCCTTTATTTATGATCAAACAGAAGACTGAAAAGCAAAGAGGCACCATCATCAGTCCTGTGTTAGAAGCTGCAAGGCATGCTTCCATGCAAGGGCTCACTAGTCATGTCACATGCTACCAAGCTCTGGTCACAACCTCTGGATTATAATTTAACCTTACCCAATTCTCACATCATAATTCTTTTATTTCATTCATCCAAAACTTAAGAAAAAATTTAGATTCTAAGTATTAGAAATTTGATTTGGAGCCAGGAATGTAGCTTAGCAATGGGACACTTTCATGGCATGCTTAAGGCTCTGAGCTCTCTAGCAGCCAAGACAAACTGAAAAGGATGCCATTGTTTCCTGAAAAAGACTTAGTGAAGCAAATGCGGAGGGCACAGAGTCAACAAATAAGCCCTACCTGTGGTGAATACTATTTGCACTAGTGATAGTAATGTTCACACTGTCAAGCCCCCCTATGAATACTATGTGTACTAGTGATGGTGATGTTGACACTGTCAAGCCCACCTGTGGTGAATACTTTGTGTACTAGTGATAGTGATGGTTAGCATCCTCAACCTGACTGCATTTAAGATCACCCAGAACAATTGGGAGGCAGAAGCAGCTGCATCTAAGTGAATGTAGGCCAATCTGGTCTACAAAGTGAGTTCCAGGACTGCCATGTATACAGAACGTGAGAAAGAAAAACAAAAACAAAAACAAAAACAAAAACAAAAACAAAAACAGAAGATACACCTCTTGGTTCAAATGAGGATAGACCTACCCTAAATGTGGTTAAGAAGGAAGCCACCTGGGTACCAGCAAGTTTCTCTCTGCTTTCTGACTGCCTGACCTCCCAGCACCAGGCCTATTGCCCCCTCCCACTGTGAACAAAAACAACCCTTTTCTTCCTTAATTATTCTGTCAGGTTGTAACTGGCTACAGTAATGAGAAAAGCAACTAATATGGTGCTGTTATGGTTACAGTACTTATGCTACAATACAATAGGGCTGGAAATGAATTTTTAAATGCCTCAAATCTCTTGTTTTAATTGAGTGTTAAGTAGCAAAGTATTAAGTTTTAGCACTATTATAAGAAACAAAGAGCAGAGGAAGAAAATTCTCTGGCTAAACTTAAATATATAAAGGAAAATTATCTTGAAAGAAATACCAAAGAGTATTCTAAAATGTATCTGAGGGGAAAACAATTTAACTGAATTAAATTTAGGCTACATTTCACATATTATGTGTCAGCGTCAGAAGGTCAATGATTAACAATTTAAAGTTTCCAAATGAAGGTGTAGAAGTGAAGTTGAGAGGGGCTGGGGAGTAGCTCATTAACTTCCTAAAAGTGAAGTCGAGAGGGGTTGAGGAACTAGGTCAGCTGTGGAGTGCTTGTCTAGCATGCCAAAACCCTAAGTGCAGTCCCCAAGGCATCAAAACGAAGAAAAGAAACCATTCAAAGAAACAAGACAACTAAATTTATAACTGAAGAAAAAAATCAAAAAGGCCCAAGAGATTTACTAACTTTCATCAGAAATGCTATACTGGGAACTGTCTGGTATTTATTTGGACCATCTTTCTGAAACCACACGAGACCCTGTAAGTCTGTATCTGTAGCTATGCTTTATTTTGGAGCATAGCTCCAAATTCTGTAACTTTTTAAAGAAAAGTAGATTTTTATCTGCTATTTGCTGGATGTCTTACCAGTCTGTACTTGCCTAGCATGTGGGATGCCCTGGGCTTGATCCCCAGCATCACACAGGAGCATGATGGAGGTGGAAGCAAGAGGGGCAACCTGGGACGTGTGACCTTGTCTCAGGAAGGAAGGAAGGGAGGAGGGAGGAGAGGGAAGAGGAGGGAAGAGGAGGGAAGAGGAGGGAAGAGGAGGGGAGAGGAGAGAGGAGGGGAGGTACACTTGGCAGTAAGGGGAGAGGATCATGGAGTCAAGTCCAGTCTTGGCTATATACAGTCAGACCTTACTTCAAACAAGGGGGGAGGGGGGGACAGGCCACATTTAAGGACCCAAATCTAATTTTCAGGTTTTTATAAATGATGATAATTATGGATCAAACGTTTCTAATTTTATGTCTGAGTTTGATCCTTGAGACTTACACACACACACACAAAAAAAAGACTTCTGAAAGTTATCCTCTGACTTCCATGTTTTCCAAAGAGCATGCATGCATGCACTAACACAGAAACACACACACACAAATTTTAAGTGTAAAAGCAAAAAACCAAAAATCTAACACCTCCCAGGACTTATTTAAATATTTATTATGCTGCAAGACTATGCCAAATATATGAACAAATGACACTTGAAATGGAAATGTCAATGCAGCGGTCAAGATCTGTCTCTACCACCTTGATCTGATATTCTCCCCAATACAAGCTGTTCCCCCACTTAAGCCAAATTCAATTCAGAGACAAAAGAAAACTGACCCCAAACTTTTAAAAGGTCATTTCAGGTACTGCTTGAAAAGAACCATTACTGAGTGACATAACATGACATAGGAAAGGTGATTTCCAGGACAACTCAAGGAAAGTACAGGCCAAGGAGAAGTGGGCACTGACAAGGGGGATCGCGGCCAAGTTCTTCAAGCATGATTTAGACATCACTGCCATGGGCATGCACGGATGAGATGAGATGTCTAAAACAAAGGACTTACTGTTAACTTGTAGGAAGGTCCTGTCCTGTCAAAGCTACTGTTAGCAGAAAAGATTAAAGAGTAAAGGCAGAAAATAGAGTAGGCACCACAGTTTTAAAGTTCTAAATCTCTTAATTTGAAAACCAGTAACCCAAAACTTTGTAATATCTTAGAATCTTACCACAACACTCTTGACTAATTTGAAATATTCTGAAATGTAAAACTATTCTAAGAAATAGACTTCAGCAAAATGTATGGTGTTCCTGGTAGACTGGCTTCCAGGACACCTTCTTATACATACAAAACACACAAGCTTGAGTCACTTGCTCTAAAATGACTTACACAATTACATACAACATGCCCACATCCACCCCCCATACTTTTAACCATTCATCTCTGGATTACTTTGTAGTACCTAACATGGTTTAACTACTGTAAGTCTGCTTATGCTCCCCATACATGCTTTTGTGGTTTTTTGCAGACATTTCTGATCCTAATCCTAATGCTGTGTTTATTGACGTACTTGCTTGTTTAGTGTCTCTCTAGAAAGAATATCAACACCTAGCAAAAAGTACAAACTTCCAGTTTGTCAGAGAAAAGGGGGCCATTATCTTTAAGTGTCTATTTTGCTTCTAGATTTACAGGTGACCTGTAGTGGAAATGTAATTCATTACTTGTGTAGTTACAGAACTTTCCCAATTCAAAAAAAAAAAAAAAAAAAAAAAAAAAAACCCCCTTAAAATTAAAAAAAAAAAAAAAAAAAAAAAAAAAAACCTCCTTAAAATTCAAGAAAACAGTCTGGAACAGAATTACCCAGAGGCCTGTCAATTGCAGAAGGTGAAATTCAAACTAACTAGCCTACCAAAGTTATTTTAAATTATGTTAGTGTTTGTGATCACCTGCACCCTGGAATGAAAGTGTTTATTTCCATTTTTGTTACAGAAACATGGTCATGGTATCATTATGTAGCCCAGGCTAGCCTATAATTCCTGACCCTCCTACCTCAGCCTCTAAAGTGCTGGGATACAGGAGTGTGTATACACAGCTCTTTTGTTTTTACTTCATACAACTGAGAAATCACTTTTCTCCTTCCACCATGAGGGTCCTGGGGAATCAAACTTGCCATGCATGGTGTCTTGCTGACCCCAAGAAACATTTGTAAGTGCAAAAGGTGGAGCATTTGCCTAGCACACCGAAGGCCTTTGGGTCAACCCTAACCACCACAAAACAAAAACAGTAACAAAAAAAGAACTTCTTTAGGACCAGAGTAGTTAAAGAATGGAAAATACTAAATAACCACCCAAAGGCCAAATAGGTTCAAGGTCACCTGGGAATTAACAATTGTCTTATCACGGGTTCCCCAACCTTCCCGTAGGCATCTCAAGGAGGATAAATGTTAAGGATCTGGAATAATCACTTCAGAGGAACTAAAATTAGAAAGACCTTGGCTGTTAATCCTCTCTATTTCAGTGTTATTGATAGGAGAAAGCCTCAAAAACTATTCAGTACTTCTAAAACACCTTGCCCAGTCACTTTTCTAAGGCACATATTACCATAGAAATCTGAAAAACAAAACCATACCTGAAATTGAACTCTGGGACACTGAATCAGAGACAAGTTGGTACCAATTTTCCTTACAATACTTCGAGATGAACCATATGGTTTTCCAGACCAAAGTACCTAAGGAAATAGAGAAACCAAACATTTATAAAACTTCTTCAACTGTTAGTACAATACATTGGCCTACTGAGTGCATGCTAACACATTAATCACAGTATCAGAATATCCTAAATGTTCTAGGAAATAAGCTAGTATTTCTCAATTCAAAATTGAAAGGATAGCTAGCCAGACAGACACTTGGTATTAAAGAGATAAAGCTTCATATAAGATACTATATAGAAATATAGTTTTGTGTGTGTGTGTGTGTGTGTGTGTGTGTGTGTGTGTGTGTATGTGTGTGTGTGTGTGTGTGTGTGCGCGCGCGCGCGCACACGCGCGCGCTCAGGTGTGTGTGTATTGGCTTGCATGTGGAGATAACAACTCTGTTGGGTCTCCTCTCTTGCAACTTTCCCCGAGTTCTGGATCAGGCTCAGAATGTCACCCTTGGTCACCGGTCTCCTCTCTTGCTACTTTCCCCAAGTTCTGGGGATCAGGTCAGGATGTCACCCTTCGGCAGCAAGTGCTCCGCCTGTGGAGCCATCTCACCAGCCCAATAATATCCTCTAGCAAACTTAACATAGTACTGTATTAGGAGTACAAACTATTTTTCTTACAATTCTACAGAGGAAATGCTACTGTAACTGAATGGACCAGCTCTCCATTTCAGCAGCCATAACAGCCAAACACATGCTTGCCTGACCTTGCCTTGGTTACTAGGAGGTCAGATGCCTGCCTTGTGGCAAGGAACCAATCAGAAGTTAGCTAGTGGTGCTATGCTTTATGGCTCTGGGTGTGCTTTAAGGAAAAGTGCACAGCAATGACGTTCAGAGCAGAGCAACCACCCTGGGAGGGCCTATGGGCCATAACAACCAGTTGACCAATCAACACAGGGCAAACCCTCCAAGCCTGGAGGCACACCAATCCTGAGCCTGTACATACTCCTAGACACTCCCCTTACACTGCCCTATAAGATCTCTATGCCTCGGCCACGTCTAACATGGGGTTAGCTTGTTAAACAACTACAATAAAGCCTCATGCTGTTTACATCCAAGTTTCTGCCTCTGCCCAGTGATTGGGGTGGCCAAAGTCCTGGACTGAGATCCTGGGGGCCTGAGCCTTGGGGGGGGGGGGTCTTTCACTTTGGAAACGTGAGCCACTTTTGCTATAGTAACTTTTCAAATTAAATACAAAATCAGTATGAAGTTTGAGGAATGATTTTGGATCATGAATGTTAGTTGCTACATGAAAAGTGAAATATTAGTGGGGATAAATCAGTCGCAATGGTACCTTCTTGAAGGGCCTTGTCTTTAATTCTTATAAAAATGCTATGTGAGTTAGGAGCTGCCATAATGAGGGATACCCCTCTCTCTGGTGAGATAATTCAGTGTCCTGGACTATACTTAAAAACTCCCTAAGTAAAACTCAGGCACATAAATGTTAAGTCACACAAACTACACTTGGAACATTACCTTCTCTTACACAGAAAATCTAGTCACGGTGAGTGCTACATCTGAAAGCCTAAACAGAGGAGTAAAGAGTGCAGCATAGTACGAAGCAATTTTCAAAGAAAAAACAATCATACTTAACTCAAACTTTCATATCCAGTTATCTTTTAATACTAAATAAACACAATCAGACAAAAATGGACACAATTCCCTTTTTAAGGTCAGCCAAAATTCTAATTTAAAGAATGAAATTACGCTGATATATATTAATGTAATTATGAATACTAATTAATCTAATGGAACTTTATGAGCAGCAGTTGGCTTCCATTTACTGTAGCTATAACAGTTACCCAAACATCTCACACCATTCTCTAAGCATGTATTAACAATCAAATCCAATTTAGTATACTAATATGTATGGGTCAAAGTGAGGTTTATGGGGTACAAATGGTACCCCCTCAAGCATCTGCCTCAAATTTTTAAAAGCTTTTCTATCACGTATGTGCCCAGTTTCTCGGACTTTTACCTGGGAGAATTCAGTCAACAAAACGTGAAATTCTTTCTTTATAAATGCAAATAAAACTGATAGCACAATTGGAAATTTGGGTGAGCAGACAATTAAAATATGAATTAAGTTACACAAAGAATTTAAGAGGCAAAAGTACCCACGCTTAAGGCCAAGTATCAATGGCCCAAGGATTACAGAGGGCCATTAGCAGTCTTTTTGCTCTGTGAGGAGAACTCACAGTACTTCAGAACAACAGAAGAATCAATAGTCCATCCAAGAAACAATAGTCATTATAAAACAGTCACTGTGCTAACTTTTTACCTTGTGCATTTTAATAGGTCTGGATCTTTTAAAACAAAACCCAGAGGGCAGAGATAACCACACCACTCAGTCATTTCTTCTCCAGTCCTCCATTTAGTCACCAGCTAAAACTCTACTATGATGTAAGAAAAATGGAATGTTATCTGTGCATCATAATGTGACCATTACCTAGTCGGAAGTGAACCCCCACCTCTCTAGGAAACAAGTTCCTGCTCAGAGAAGAGGACAAAGCAAACAGTTCACAAAGAAAAACTCAGACAGGACCTGTCCAGGTCAGGAGCCAGGGCTTCTGCCAGCCTCCAGCAACCCTCACCAGCATCTTTCCATCCGCTTAATGCCAGGGGCAAAGAATGCCAGGTGCTTTCGGGAAGAGAAGTGGCCAGTGATTCAGCTGTCAATTATAAGGAATAAGTAAACTGTTTAGGTTTTGCCTACAAAGTTAGAACAGATTATTTCATGATCTTCGTGAATTGCCCAGTGTTTAGTGTGGCTGGAATATTTAGAAAGAAGAGTCACAGCCTCCATTAGGTGGTTAAGAACAGTTAACTTCCAGGAAGTCTGATATGCCAGACTTGGGTCTTTTTTTTTTTTTTTTTTTTTTTTTTTTTTTTGGTTTTTTTGGTGTTTTTT